TGCCCCAGGATCGAGCCTGCCGCAGCGGCAGAGCCTCCGGGTCGGCCCTGCCGCAGCGGCAGAGCCTCCGGGTCGGACCTGCTGCTGCGGCAGAGCCTCCGGGTCGGACCTGCCGCTGCGGCAGAGCCTCCGGGTCGGACCTGCCGCTGCGGCAGAGCCTCCAGCCGGTCTACAGACCAGAGAGTCTCTGAATGTGGACGCTTGCTCTGCAGACAGGAATCAGCAGCAGGAGCTGCATTCACAGAGTAGAGATGCTTTCTGTCCAAAAGGCGCTTTCATAAAGCGGGCGGCTCCACTGGAGGACGGCTGCAGCTGGACCGGTACCGGTACCGCTGGTACCGCTCTAAGTTCTGCTCTAAGCTCCAGGATGATCAGTCTGGATGAATCTAAACGCTGATCGACCATCAGATGGATCTGATCTGTGATCAATCCTCCATCAGAGCCAAAGCTCCTCAGGTAGCGGCTCACCTGGATCAGCTGCTGATGGACCTGATCAGAACCGAACCTGGTGGATCCATCTGCTGATCAGCCTGTTTTCTCTCCAGTCAGAATGAAATGAGCCTCAGATGCTTTCAGACGATGAGTTACATCTTCATGAGACAAACTGAGGAAGTTATTATTTACGTCAGAGTGAAGTTTTACCTTCCTTTAGTTTCTTTATTTTTCAGGTTATTGTCTGAGGATAAATGTGGTTCAGTTTCACAGTTTAACCAATAAAATAATAAAATCATCGGGTTTTATTCTTGGTCTAAATAACTGAATCAGGTTTCAGTGGATTTATGTGAGTTTTGACTCTTTATAGTTTATTATTGTCCACAGATAAAGTTTGTGTGGCTGCAGCACATTTTCACCGCAGGTCAAAAGTTATTAACCCGTTAATTATATTAACCCGTTTTTCACACCATGTTCATCTTTATACATGCCGACTTGCGTAAAATATGGCGGCGATGCATTTCCTGTGCTCACGTCGCTTTAGACATGAGGTGTCTGCAGAGCAGCGCAGACAGGAAGTGGAGATCAGGAAGGATTCCAGCCTCAGAGCTGATGAGTCGCTCTGTGCCGCCTGGAGAACCTCCAGCTCTCATCCAGGTTTCAGGAAATATTCCTCCATGTCTGGAATCTGACCTGGAATCTGGACAGAACCTTCCGGTTCTGTAGTTTCCAGTCCTCATCAGAACATTTTCCTTCTGATTGTCATTCCTGTTTTCCTCAGTTTCTGGGTCGGACTTGGATCAAATTCAAGAACATTCCTGAACTCCAGAGTGTTTGTTGGGAACGTTTCTGAATTTTAAGCAACTTTATTTGAATATTTTGAGGGGGTTTTTTTAATGCAGAAATTCCTCATCTGAGGAATAAATTCTTCTTTCATTTCAACATGCATGTTTTTGTTTTTTGGTTTGTTTTCTTTAAAAGTCTCTGAACCGTATTTATTCTGGTTTTGTGGCTCGTAATGCTGCAGCCGTTTCTTTAATGAGCCGGGAAGCTTCAGCCAGTAGAACCAGATCCACTGACTGGGATGAAGGTCTCGCCGGCCCAGCCCGGCCCGGTTCGAGCGTTTACTCTGAGCTCAGGTACGAACAAGAAAATCCCTGTTAAGTTTTCTTGTCACACTTTGTTGCGAGCTGCGGCGCCGGCGTGCGGAATGTGGCGCCGCCACGAAGAACTGTGGCGGCAGAGGAAGAAGAAGAAGAGCCGCGTCTGTGAAGCCGGCAGCAGACGGGGAGGTTTATTTGACCTCTGACCTCTGGGCTGGATGAAAGCTTTGATGCTGAGACGCTGCAGAAGCAAACCCAATGCATGCTGGGTAATGAATGCAGCATGAAGGGCTCCCCTAACCTCTCTCTGTGTTGCAGGACTGCGGCATGCGGGTCCAACCGGGTCGGTCCTGCGGTCTCCAGCCTCACCTCCCGCCCCAGAGTCCCGTCCAGCCCTGCAGCTCCGGACACGTCCCAGGTAACGTGTCCGCCGTCCGTCTGTCCACTCCCAACAAAACCAGGCCGAGTCGCTCCTCAATATGGGAAAGACCAGAGAACACAATGCTACGCGCTAAAGAAGGTACTGCTAAAGGAGGCGGATCCAGGCGCACAGGCTGGAGCAGGTCTCTCCTGGTCTCAATAGCAACCGTTAGACTATCTCTACAGTCAGGAGGAAGATTTTCCTACCATCTTAAAGGCCTTACCCATCCCGGTTCTTTACCTGGACCCGGTTGGACTCCCTCGGTACCGGCAGCTCACCTGGGTCCCTCTCTCACCTGTCCGTCAGGTCGTTGGGTCGTCCCCTGCCTCAGCTGCTCCGACAACAGGACCTGTGATTGGAGGGAGGTCACCTGGCAGCCAGATGACTGCTACCACCCGCCAGTGCGGCGCCCCCTGCTGCAGGACTGCATGTCACACAGGAAGGTGAGGTCACGTGACCGGGCGCCATGCGCCGTCAGCACTGCCAGCTGATTGGCCGGTCTCTGCTAGGTGATGTTCATCGGGGACTCCACCAACCGCGGGATGATGTTCTTCCTGATGGAGCGGGTCAACGGCAGCCTGCAGGACTGGGGCAGAGCTCACCACACGCTGCTGTACCGCAACCTGAACCAGCGCCGCACACAGGTCAGCTACTCCTACTATCCCCGCTTCTGGCTGGAGGGGAGCCAGAGGCCCACCTTCAGGCAGGCCCTGCTGCAGCTCATCAACAGGTGACAGGAAGTAGGCCACAGTGCTTCCCGCCTTACAGCACGTTCCTCGGCTGAGCCTCCGTTTCTGTGAAGGTCTCGGCCGCTGGAGAACTCCAACCAGACGGTGCTGGTGGTGGGCGGAGTCCAGTGGCTCAACAGCAACCATCTGAGGACGGTGCAGGACGTGTTGGACAGGTAAACGCAAAACAACACCACAGGTGTTCTCAGAATGCAGAGGCCCTGACTCCTGTCCCTGAGGAACTCCTCTGTCCCCATCAGGGAGTCTCTGAGTGAGGTCCTGGTGGTGGTGAAGTCTCTGGGGATGGGCTTCCACCTCCCTGTAGACGGCATCCGGTCTCTGAGCCTGGTAGGTTCCCTGCAGAGGGTAATGTCTTGCTGCAGCGCTCTCTGACGGCGTTTCCCTGCAGACGGAGATCCGAGGCCTGTTCAGAGACAACGCAGAGCTGATCTCCACGGCCAGACGGCTGCGCTTCGAGGCCGTGGACACCTTCAGCATCACCATGGGCCGCTACAAAGAGTTCCTACAGGGCCGCTGCGCCTGCCACTTCCATGAGGTAAAGCATCCCCGTCCGGGGATTCGGGTTCAGAACCAGGTTGGACGGTTCCTGGAATCTGCAGAGATCCCTTCCTGTTCCTCAACCTCTATCGCCCAAAACACTTCCTGTTAGCAGCACAGCTGTTCAGCTCAGGCGGTTTCTCGTCTCCTGACGATGTTCATCCGGACTGAGTCTAAAAGTCCAGATCCTGGAAAACGTTTCGGCTCCTTCAGAAAAGATCCAGGTCCCCAACAAAGTTTCTGGTTCCTGAAACGGATTCTATTTTTCAGAGGAAGTTCCAATGATCCGGTTCTAAAACAAAGGAACTGCTTTCAGAGAATCAGTTCCATCTTTCCTGATTCGGCTCAAAGATCCTGGCAAAGTGCTGCAACTTCCTGCTGTGCAGAACATTCCAGTTTTCCAGCTGATCCCGTCTCTCCTCCTTCCAGGTGGAGAAGCTCCAATCCTCCGACCCTCCAGACAGCGAGGCGTCCACCAGGAAGAAGCCCGGAACCAGAACCGGCAGCCATTCCGTGCTGGATACAGAACAGGAAGACGGGTCGAAGGCTCCGACCTTTCGGGTTCGCGGGGCGGTGAACCAGGTGTACTCCGAGATCCTGCTGAGCCGCATGTGTCCCGGGAACAGGTGAGAGTCACCTGTCTCCTCCGGGTCAGCACCGCCGGGTCAGCGTTCGCTTCTCTGATGTTCCGGGATGAACATGGAAGTCCTACTGACTGGGAAGGGAACCGTATATGGAAATACTTCAAGTTTGATGAGGAGGATGCAGAAAAATCCTCAAATAATGAGAAACTCAAAATATTCCAAGAAACTTAATTTCATTAAAACTTCCTCTGATGGGAAGTTTCACATTCCCAGAAGTTCTGAAGACTTTCATTCCCTAGAAGATTCCGACATCCAACAAAAACTTTTCGCAGATTTTCCAACAGAAAGCATTTTTCCATCCAGGTTTCATTTTTCCCAGCAGAAGCTGATCCAGGGTTCATAATTCCAGGATTTTCCAGGCTTTTCCAGGCATTCAGCAGGCAGCTGCTGGTTCTGCTGCAGCCCAGAGGAACATCGGACCGATCCAGGTCGCTGCAGAACCGAATCCAGTAAAGGAATTTTGGTGGAATCAGATTTTCCATCTGCTGGGAATAAATCTGGAACTCTGACCGTTTTCCTTCCTCGCTCCGACCCGGAACCCGACCCAGAGTTCCAGAACCGGTTTCATTTCATCCAGGTCCCATCAAATCCGACCGGATGCTCATCAGAACTCTCAGCCGGGTTCTGATGGTTCCTGGTTCCGTCCAGTATGGACATAGAACTCAGTGATTTGGACCGGCCCGGTTCTGAAGGTTTCCAGCTTCCAGAACCAACAGCTACTCCAGGTCCAAATAAAGGAACGGCTGGTGGACCAGCAGACATGTGACACGTCTGGTTCTGGTCTGATTGGACCTTATGGTTCTGTTTTATTCTTCTCCAGATGATTCTGCTGCTTAGCTGTGCGGTTCTGTTCGGACCACCTGTGGTTCCGGTTCTGTTCATGGATCTAAGATTCCTCTGCCGCTAATAAAGTTTTTATTCTCTCTTTTTTTTTTAGTTTTTCAATTTATTTAATCAGAACCGAACCGGTCCAGTTTCTACAGACTCGGTTCAGTCCAGAACCAGGTAGGCAGAGCCAGGGGTACTTTCTATGAGGTCGGGGTTGCCATGGTTACCAAAACCTCCCGGTTTCTTCCTCCGGACGATTCGGAACCAGTGGAGTTCGGTTCAGCTTCCCTCCCGTCTTGAGCCAGGCGGTTCTGGAGGGTTCTGGAGAACCGGGATGTTTTTCTGCTCTGTCTGCTCCGCAGCTTCAGGATCAGCCTCTGACGTCACGCCGTTGCGCTGATCCAATCAGCAGCGACCTGGACCGGGTCTGGGTCCAGTCCGCCGCGCCTGGTCCCGCAGAGGGAAGCAGCGGCTGCGGAACCGGGATGATCCGCAGGACCGGGCGTTTCTGGTGAGGGATGGAGACCCGGAGTTCTGGAGTCCGACCCATGTTCGGTCTGGTTCTGCTGCTGGTCTGGGTCAGCCCGCCGAGCTGCCGGGCCAGCTGGATGTGAGTACCGAACCGGACCAAGCAGTACCACAGCTGTCAGAACTTTTTATCAGCACCAGAACCTGGTCTGAGGTCCAGTTTTATGCAACTAACCAGAACCAGAACCGCTACTGGTTTCGGTTCCACTTGTCCGGATGGGTCAGGCTGAGCCTATGTCTATGGTTCCGAGAGAACCTGGTCCCCGACCAGACCGAACTGTTCGGAACCAGATGGGTTTGCGCATGCTCTGTAGATGTAGATGACTGTAATTTACTGTGAGGTTCTGGAGATTCTCACATGAATAATCCGAACCGGACTTGTAGCTAAGGAGAACCTTTCCCGAACCGGTTCGGATGTAGTTTAACCTGGAGAACAGAACCGAGGTTCCGATCAGATCCTTTGCTAGAAAGAAAAGTTTAATTTGAGTTTTTCAGATGCTAAATTCTGTAGAATCTCCTGCGGTTCTGATCTTCTGGACCGGGTCGGTTAGACTCAACGTCTTCATGTCAGAATGAAACAGAAGTGGTTCTGATGATCAGAACCCGTCCGAACCGAGCCTGCGGTCTGCAGCCCGGTTCCCCGCCGCTGCCCGGCTCTGAGCGCTAACTGCAGCCGCTGCCCTCCACAGGTGGCTGGGCGTGACGTCCGGCGGCGGCCCGGAGCGGCTGTCCTGCGGAGACCCGGCTCTGAGCGGCCGGCAGCGGGCCCTGTGCCGCGGGAAGCCCTTCCTGCTGCCCGGCGTGCGGGACGGAGCCCGGCTGGCCGTGGCGGAGTGCCAGAATCAGTTCCGACTGGAGCGCTGGAACTGCTCCACGACCCGGAACCCCGCGGCCGTGTTCGGGCACGAACTGACGAGCGGTGAGTCCTGCTGCACGGTTCGGCAGCTCCTAACTGGATTCTGTGTGTTTTAGTTCTGGTTCCAGGCGGTTAAACCCAACGTCCAGAACCCAAAGTTCTACAGAATTCCGCATGTTTTCTTGGTCCTGTTTAGAAGTTCTGCTGGTTCCGACGCGCAGCAGCTTAGAAACTAAATATTTAGTTCTGCTTCTGATGGGTCCTCATGGTACCGAACCAGCAGACAGGTTCTGTCTGGGCCCAGTCTGCCCCCCAGAGGCCAAACGGAGGAGCTGCATGTTGTCCTGACTGAGCCTCACGTCTTTATTACGTCACAACCTGCAGCTGGACTCCGGGATTACCGGAACATCTTGGATTAAATGGATTTAATCAGATTAAATCTCTGACTTTTTGCATTCTGCAGGAAGGAGACAGGAGGCGTTGGGGCCCCTCATGTGTTCTTTAATGAGTACTAGTCCTGACAGAAGGGTCAAAGGTTATCTGTAATTATGACTGGTAGGGATCATGTTTCCTTTGGTTGCAGAGGAAGTGATGTCAGAATGTCTCCATCCCGCAGGAACCAAGGAGACGGCGTTCATCTATGCGGTGATGGCAGCGGGTTTGGTCCACTCCATCACTCGGTCCTGCAGCCAGGGCAACATGACGGAGTGCGGCTGCGACGCCCGGCTGCACGGCGGCGGCGGCGGGGCGGTGGAGGAGGGCTGGCACTGGGGCGGCTGCTCGGACCACATCCGGTTCGGAACCTGGTTCAGCCGGAGGTTCATGGATGTCTCAGAGAAGAACTCGTCAACGGGCCGGGTCGGGTTCACGCTCAGCACCATGAACCAGCACAACGCCGAAGCCGGACGGCAGGTGAGGACATCCTGACCTCTGACCTCAGTTAGACCCCTTCAGAGAAAAACTCGCTCTGCTGCGAGAATCAGTTGGAGCAGGTCCGGTTTACAGGATCAGGGAGGAACCGGGCCAGCAGCTGCTCAGAATGTTCCTTTAAGGTTCTTCCACCAAAGTGGGTGAAGATCCGTTTTCCAGAACCAGAACCAGCTTGGAGTTTCTCCCAGGAAGTGGTTTTCCCTCTGGAGCAGCTGCAGTCTCCAGGCCGCTCCAGGCAGCAGCTCAGGGAACATTTTCTGAGCCGGAGATCCAGTAATGTTCTCCCTAAAGCTGGAGTTCTGGTTGGAAAGTCCTTTATTCATGAAGGTGTTCCTTTACTTCCACAAAGACACTTTAATACTGGACCTCTGGAAGAGCCGGCCCATCCTGAACCTGGATTCTGGATCTCTGGGCACCTGCTGCGGCTAAACCAGCTCTGTTCTTCACTGGTAGATGAAACCTGGGATCCGCTGGGCTTCAAAGGCTTCAATAAGGAGACAGGGTTACAGCAGCCATCCTAAAACCAGATGTTCAATCAGGTCACACCAAAAAACCAAGTTACATGTAAATGGTTCATCAACTTAAAGCTTTGATACCGGATGGTTCCTCTGGAAATGAAAGACCAGACCTCACCTTACACCACTTCCTTCAGGCTGGAGAGAAAGCAGGACTGTTTGGATCTCCAGCTTCTACTCTCTCAGTTCTGCATCAGCCCAGCTTCACTAGTCCAGATCCAAACTTGAACTTCTCCTCTGAAAGGGACTTCCTGGAACTCTGAAACGTTAGTTGTTCTGATGTGACTGAAATCTGCTCTACAGGAACCATCCATCTGAGTAGTTGCTGGTTGGTAGAACTCCTCCCTGATCCTCCAGAATAAGGTTGGGATCCGACCATCTGCTGCAGGTCCAGCAGTCAGCAGGCAGTCAGGTTCTGACTTTCTCCTTCCCCACCTGGAATCCATCTCCAGCCCAGTGTCTCTGTCTTCCTGCAGGCCATCGAGATGACCATGTCCACAGACTGTCGCTGCCACGGTATTTCTGGTTCCTGTGCGGTGAAGACCTGCTGGAGGTCCATGGCGCCGTTCCAGCGTGTTGGCGCTTACCTGAAGGAGCGATACGAGCGCAGCGTCCAGGTGTCGGACCGTGCCAGGAGGAAGACCAGAAAAAAGGACCAGCGCCGCCCTGCGGACAAACACGAACTCATCTACCTGAACAAGTCTCCAAACTACTGCCTGGAGGACAGGCGACGTGGCATCGCCGGCACCAGGGGGCGCCGCTGCAACCGGACCTCAACCGGCCCGGATGGCTGCAACCTGCTTTGCTGCGGCAGAGGCTACAACACTCATGTGGTGAGGAACATCCAGCGCTGCGAGTGCAAGTTTGTTTGGTGCTGCTACGTCCACTGCAGGCGCTGCGAGAGCATGAACGACATGCACACCTGTAAATAAGTCCACGCCTGGAAAGGATCGCACACCTGGAGCAGGAAGAGAAGACAGTCCTGCATGGATGGAGGTTCTGATCAGATCAGGATCTGATTGGATGGAACAGCTGCAGGTCACTGCTGGAGCACAGCTCCACTTGTTATCCAGGAGCCTGAAGGAATCCTGGAAACAGCCTCCAGGCAGGGCCGGACTTAGGAGGGTGTGGGCCCCTGGGATTGTGCCAAGGTGCGGGCCCTACTTAATCATCGTTATACATTTGATTAAGTACACACACACACACACAC